TTTTATCCCTTCGCGTAGATGTGTATGTAACGCCTATGCCACAAGTAGCCATGACGGATAAGGGAAATCCTAAAAGAATCCATCAGCGTGTGTAGACGAGGTGGCGAATCTGTACTGAGATAGCTAAAGTAGACGCGTCAACCCATCCCTCGTAGCCAAACGTAGCAAAGAAAAAAAAAGAGACAACCTTGAAATGAGGAGGCGTGTCCTGCCCCTCAACCCCTTTCGCTACAGTTGGAAGTAGACAACAAAAAATGACTATAAACTGGGTGAGCCTATTTCTCTCCATTTTGTGGCTTTATGTGCCAAGGTGGAGGAATGAGAAAAGGAAAGGGTTGAGAATTTTTGACGTGAATTCTGTTGAGGGTGAATGGAATAAGGAGCGGGCTGCGGAGAGGGAGCCGAGGAGACCGATCGGAGCGAGTCAAGTGAAAATCGGGGAGGATGGGTCAATGGGCCTAAACTGGGGTAGGCACGAGAGGTGGAGGCGAGGTGGAGATGCTTCCCAGATATGCGGCCAGATAAGCGGTGAGAGAAGCGGCCAAGTGAAGAGCCAAGTTCATAGGCAGCGTGAGAAGACAACGGAAGAGAGGAGGCAACCACTGGAATCCTTTGCACAAACTAGACTAAAATACCTTCACGTAAAGAGAGAACTGAACAGCGCCCTGCAGATCATGTTGAACCAGTACTGCCACCCGCACATATCAAGATGCTTAGAAATGACAAACCATTGCTATTGCTTCCATAAAGGAAAATTACATAGACATATGAATTACCCCCGATGCGTAGACAACTGCGGCAAAAGGATTAGATGTTTTGGATTCCCAGCAGGCGCTCCAGTTAAGGATATCCCAGGAGAAGTTCTAAATAGATTAAAGATGAAAACTTGTGTCATCTCGAGAAACCAAAGAAGATTGGACAACCTATGCGGTGAAAATAAAGTGTTTCGTTTTCATAGAAATAAACAATATTGCATTCCTCATGATCTGTTAGACATGGACAGAATTAGCATCAGCTGTTTTAACGAAATCAGTGCGATAAGGCCTTGTGCAGGTTTTTTGGAAGATACTCAAAAGGACCTTAAAAAATTCGAAGTGCATTATAACAAATTGGTGTGTTCCATTTTGTACGATGTGTGTAATGAAGAATTGGAAGGAAATGGGCAACTCTACAGTGGGTGCCAAGACAGGTCGATATCAGGTCAGAGGTGCCTACCCTGGAGTTCTTTAAACGTAAAGGAAATTTTAGGCTTAGAATACACACATAACTACTGTCGCAATCCAGAGAATTTAAGAACAATATATTGCTTCGTTAAGATGAATGGATTCATATTTCGAGAATTTTGTGATAACAAAAAAGACATAATAATGAATGACATTACTTACATTAATGAATCTCTATTCAATTTCGATGTGACGATGAAGAATGTGTCCGATTTTCGATTAGCACTCAGCAAACGAGATTGTTCCCACCAGCCTGTAGCATCCGATGACCCTCTTAAGAACAGGGTAATGGAACCTACTGATTATACATATCACAATGTAGATGACGAAATAGCGGTGACTATTTCGTTCAGAAATTTTCACATGCGCATTTATCAAAATGCTAATCTGTTTATATGTGCCTGTTATAGGGATTACTACGCTGATGAGGATTCCAAGATATGCTTGCTCAGAGACTATTCTACGAAGGTCGGGAACATCCTATCCAGCAACCACATTTTTGATACATCGATAAACGTGTTTAATGTTAATAAGGAGAAAAGTCTATCCTTAAATGTCAACAATGCCGTTATGGAGAATAGGGAGATCTACATAATGCAGGGGGAACATTCCTATGAATGTAGAAACTTACGGTTCTTGGAAAATACACCCCCAACCGGATTTCAGCAATTTCTTAATATAGATATTAGTAAATCCATTCAGAGGATAAGGCCCCGTTTGGACAGCTCCAAGCCCTACTCCACGGTTTATGCCTACGCGGATAAAATTTTTGACTTACAAACGATGCTCAATCGGAATGACGAATTTACCAAAGAGATCACTGGACGAATAGAAATGAGTCAACGAGGTGGTGGCAGTCAAGGGGGTCATAGCAATCAAGGAGGCCATACCAATCAACGAGTACACATCAGTGGGGCGAAAGACAAAGAAGGCATTACCCACGTCGCCTTTCACAAAATTTCCAATTTGAAAAATGGCTCCAATTTGATATGTATAAAAAATCCATCATACAGCAATGTCATCTTCACTTATGTAGGCCTAATTACTTATAATGACTACAGCACGTCGAATGTGAAGTACCTTTTAAAAAAAGAAACCACTGTTTTCGAGGATAGAGTCTTCCTAAATGACGTGGCAAATTTTAGTCTCACCGATCACTTATTTTCGTTCAGCACCATTTCATGCGCACTTACAGACACCACCTCTTTAAAAGAATTCTCGTCAAAAATTGTAGAAGAAACGCACATTAACAGGCTGAGGAAATATTCAGGTGCTTTCTACTATAAGCATTTTAAAAGCTCCTTTAGGAGGAGTCCCCAGAATGATATACCCGAGGGGGGGGAAAAAAGGAATCGCTTCTACACCTTTTCTTTACAAGAAATAAAGACAAGTGGCGTTTCCCTAAATTATCTCTGCGAAAGGAAGAGACAGCTTGATCCGCTTAGCTCCGTTTCACTCGTCAGCCTTTCCAACTTCCTTTTTTCTCCCTATGAAGATTTTGCTCATTATTTCCATGTGAGAAGCCTTCCAGACAGCACACATAATATGTATCTAACCAGAAAATTGTTCTGGGTTGTTAGAAACCACTTTAATATCGACGGGGGAGACACAGCCCCCTTCAAAATGAGCATTTTGTCCCTCTGGTCGCACGAAAGGGATAATTATGTTTCCCTCTGGTTTGTGACGTCTGAGCATTTGACTCCATTTTTTCTGATCAAGTACGACTTTTACGCGCCCACGTTCTCCTTCCTGGAGCTGGTGCCCCCGGAGGGTTCACCAATCGCTACATCTAACACGGCTGATACCGCTCACACTGCTAACCCCCCTAACACAGCTAACACCGCCACAACGGCAGTCCAAACTAGCGGCATCAACGCGATCCCCCCAGAGAGCTCCCCAAGCGCAGCCGGCTCGTCCAACAAGCCGCACGCCATTGCCTACATCTATACCTTCAGCACGAAGCAGCTAACAATGAAGAAGTACCGAACTAGCGATTTTTACGAACTCACTCTGGAGAACACTAGGTTTACACCAAAGATATCGAGAATAAGCAGTATAGATAAATTCACCTACCTAGGTGAGACCTTTTTTATACTCCTGAATCAAGTCAATTTAGTCTCCCTCCGGAATAGCCATTTTGAAGAAATACACCTGAAGCATTCGGATCTTTCTACTTTTATTATTTCCACTCCGATTAAGATTCAGTGTTTAGGAAATAGCACCATCACTTGTTTCGTCCTCTACGAGTCTCACCAGATTTTGTGGTTTGATCTTATGTTGGGTCCAACCATGGTGTTGGATTCGTTGAAGGGAGTGGCGCCCGTAAGTGGTGCACATCCGAAGAAGGGGATCCACGGATTGGAGGAAAAGATGAAGAAGCTATCCCCAAAGCAGTCATTCCTACTTCAAAACAGCGGGAATAAAAGTTTTGGGTTTGAAGAGAAGAACGTCCCATCAGGAGAGGTAAAAGAAGGATACATAAAACATATATATACATACAGAGAAAAAGACTTAGAGATAGCTTCCGAGATCGCCAAAGACATGACGGTGATAAGGAAGCTGGACGAATACATCATTTATGTCTCCAGCAGTGAGTCAAACAAATTGCACATATACTCAACGGACAAGTCAGAAACGAAAATAGAATATTACAAATATGTGAAGAATGAGCACATGTCCAGCTACAAGATAAGTTCCATTTTTACCTACTCTCATGAAGACACCAATTTTATTAACTCCTTCATAAGGAAGGAGAATGACATGCATCATGCTGTATCGTCTTTCATGCATGAGAGGTTGAGCACGACCAAATTTGAATACAAAAAAAATACATGGCATCTGTACAATCAGCAAATCGAAATTGTGCCTGTCATTAAGGGAGATAAGAGACAGATAAAATATTTCGCGATAACTGATATGAGCCCCTCTCTAAAGGGGCAGAATATAAGTATCCACAAAAAAACGGGAGTAATACTACTCAAGCTGAACAGAATTGAGACGCCACAAATCGAACTGCGTGTGACCATGCATGGATTATTTCATGTCTCCACTTCACATGTCCGCTTCAATGTCGTCTGCATGAATGGGCACTACTTTGAAAATAAAAAGTGTAAACCATGTCCGAAGGGCTCCTACAACAATCTTAAGGAGATCAAAAAGAATATGAAATGGTACACTTCGTGCATCCCGTGTAAGACAAATCAGACAACCTTTGAGCCGGTGCCCACCAGTGAGAAGCACTGCCTTTGTGACGTAGGGCATGAATATATAATAGACCCCAAAAATCGTCACCAGTTTATTTGCTCTCCCTGCAAATTTGGCGAATATAAGGATACCATATCGAATAGACTATGCAAAGGGAATGGGTGCATCGAAAATTCAACCTCGCACATATTGGGGGCGAAAACTGAGGCAGAAAGTTCGTGCAGCTGTAACGCTGGCTACTTCTTAACCTTCGATTTGTTTGGCTCCAGTATATGTGAAACCTGTCCGGCAGATCATTACTGTCCTAGTAACTTTGAGAAAATACAAAAGTGCCCCAAACATAACGAGACCTTGCGAGGTGAGCGACGAACCGATTTTACCACCATGGGTAGCTGCCTCTGCAAAAAGGGATATGAACCTATCAACATGAAAAAGGTACAGCAAAAGGGATCAAGAGAAGAGCATTATTATAACCTCTTCTTTAGTAGCTACTCTTATAAACCGAATGAGATTGACCCCAAACACATCTGCATGCAATGCAACATAGGTTATTACAAAGATACCGTATCATCAGAAGAGTGTAAAAAATGTCCAAACAAATCTATGAATAAAACGTTTGGAAGCACCACCATAGAAAGTTGCAACTCATGTTATAGTGGTTACTACAAAGATTCAGAGAAGGTCTGTTCTACATGCCTCCCTAACCACTTCTGTGTGGGTAACTTCCCACCAGACGGATTGACTCAATACACTGGAGATGCAGTCATATGTCCAAACAACTCTGTCACAAAGGAGCCCAACAAATCTAATAACTCCTTTAAGGATTGCTTATGTGTCGAAGGGTACGTAAAGCATCTGCAAGAATCGTACAATTTAAATGAGCACTGTAAATTGGCCCCACTCAACTTTTACAAAGACACTATATCGAACGACTTAGGCACCCCCTGTCCCTCCAACAGCGTGACCCTAGTGGAGGGGGCTAAATCTATTCACGAGTGCATATGCAGTAAGGGCTTCTTCTATAGCAGGAGAAGGGGAATGTGTATGGAATGCCCCATAGGATACTACTGTCCGGAGAAAAACAGCAAGAGCAAATTTAGGGGGCCTGTAAAATGCCCTGAAAACTCTAGGAATGTAAAAACGGGTTCTTACGAATTGGCTAACTGCCAGTGCAACTTTGGCTACACCCCCAATGGGGCGGCCAATAAGGTTATAAATGCGTACACGTCTGAGAGGCAGATTACCCGTCATACTATCCGCCATAGTATCCCCCATACTAGCGAACAACCCAGTCACTTCTCCCCCTTTTTGCACTTCGGGAAAGTCCTAACAAGGGAGAACCGCTTCATTCATATTATGCCAAACGAGGTTGATACCCAAGAACAGAGCAAGACACTTATGAAGAACCCCTCCTTGCTGCTATGCAGTAGGTGCCCCAATTCGACCTACAAATCTACCATAGCGAACGAAGCCTGTCACGAGTGTCCCCCTAATAGTGTTACTCTTACGAATATGAGCAACTCAGATTTCTACTTCTGCCTCTGCCGCGAGGGGTACTATTTGGAAGAACAAAAGTGCAAACCTTGCTCCTTCACGAAACTGTACTGCCAAGGTGAGAGCATATTCGAAGTGCCCCCGGACATGTACAATCAGATGATCGAAATGATTAGGAGACACATCGGATCGTTTGGCCCATCCCACGGGCGACGCTTCGTTAACTCGATGATCCGCGAATATAGTGTGCGCTGGGGCAAGGGAGCGCACAGGGGCGGTAGTGGGGGTGGAGGTGGCAGTGTGGATGTGCACGGGGGGAAGAAGGAGGAAAGTCAGATGGGGGGTCAATCGACCAGTCAGGGTGGAAACGCGGATGGATCTCAGTGGGGGGGTCAGCATATGGCTAAGGACGCATCTCACAGCGGAGCTGCTGTTCGACCCGACGAAGACGCCCCTCCGGGTAAGTCGCGCACGCAACGCAAACGGCACAGGAGACTCCCCATCAGTAGCTACTTCGGTAATCCCCTCCCCGTCATGCTGCTCAGCCGCCTAAGCAGAATGTCGGATGCGTCCACAAGTCTCTCCCTGAAGAGGCATCAGCTAGCAGGTCCTCCAAATGGGCACATAAACCAGAAAAGAAAAGAAGACGATTTAGTGAACCTTCTTCTGAAGACCTTCTTCTACAGAGACAATACCAACGTGATGTACGCAAAGTATCAGCGGCTTGTGAAATGCCCAGATAACACGGCAATCCCGCTGGGAGTAGATTCTGCCCACAACTACGATGACTGTAAATGTGCCAAGGGGTACTACCTACAATGGAAGGATATCAGCAGATCGGTTAAGCTATGCAAACCGTGTAAAGAAGGGACATTCAAAAATTTCGTTGGAGATGAAACGTCGTGCGTGTCTTGTCCCCCTAAGTCGACAAGTCTGGAAGGATCTATCTACCCAACGCACTGCTTCTGTAAGGAGGGTTTTTTTTACAGTAAACAAAACTGTTTGGCTTGCTTAGAAGGGGCGACATGCAAAGGGGGATTATACCAAAATGCCTTGAGTAGGATCCAGTTAGGGTTAGAAAATATTCACATAACTTCGGAAGATCATGTAAAGCCAGAATCAAAAAGAGGATACTACTTAGATGAGGTGATGACAAAGAATGTCGATGTAAGTCAGTGGAAGTTTATAAAGTGTCCAATACAAGGTGCGTGTCTTGAACGAAATAAATGTCATCACAGTATGAATAATTACTTATGTGTGGAATGTGCAAAGGGGTATACGAACACGTTTATGCGATCTGTGTGTGTTAAGTGTCCAAATAACATCGTCAACATGGTTATCCTATTCTCCATCTACATTACATTCTGCTTTATCATCATTCTGATATCCTACTTGAATGTGTCTTCTGGATTTTACCGAAAGTCCATCCATTCCATTGTTATAAAAATTGCCGTCAATTACATTTCCAGCATGCTGCTGATTAACATTCTGGAAGATAAGAATCTGCTTCTACCAGAATTTGTGCACCAGTTGTATAGGGAAGTTACGAAGCTCATAAATATAGGAGAGAGCAGACGAATCATCAGCATCGATTGTTTATTGAGACATTATTTTGACGTAACCTATGCCGACTCTTTCTTCTACTCCAGTTTGTTATTTTTTTTTATCCCGGTACTGCTCATGGGGACGTTAACCTTGATCCTGTTTGTTATCCTGAAAATATACACCTTATCGCGGAAGAGGGCAATTGAGAACAAACTGGACTTACTTAGTATAGCCAAAAGGGAGAGAATTCACTTCTTGGCTAACTGCCTGGAGAAATCCTATTCCAAAGAAAGGTTTATCATGATATTGAGGTATATAAAATTAGAACAGTACACTTGGATGGATAGAGCATTTATCTTTTTCGAAGATATGATTCCAGTGTATGTTACCTTTCTATTTATGATCCATGCGAAGACGTCTATGAGAATGTTTCAGCTATTTGACTGCTCCTACATTATGTATACAAAACATCTGGGTAGATATATCCTAAGTAGGGTCAGCAGTATCCAGTGTGATTTGAAGACGGATTATTTGAAGTTTTTCATTCTCGGTTTATCCGGAACGGTTATATGGTCCCTGGGCATCCCTTTCTTATCCTTCTTCGTCCTGTACACAAATAGGCACAATTTGTTTCAAGAAAATGTTCGCATAAAATACGGCTTTCTACACAATGGATATTTGCCAAACAGGTGGTACTGGGAAATTATCGTCTTTGCGAGGAAAATATTTTTTCTTTTCATCACCACAGTTGTCTTATTCCCATCGGACGAAACGAACACTTCCAAGTTGCTGCTAATTACCTTCATCGCCATTTTCTCCCTGTGTGTGCATTTCATCTTTCAGCCATTTGACAAGAGAAATTTTTTTACCCTAAACAAGTTGGAAAATACAAGTCTGTTCATATGGACATCAACCATCGTTGTGACATCCCTTTTGCTTTCTATCAATCTGAATGAATTCCTCAATTTTGTCATTTTATTTTCCCTAATTTTGCTGCATGTCATCTTCACTGTGAAATTGCTGATTTGCTTGTTCTACGAGTGCATCGATAACCTCAGGAGGAAGAAGGCCCTCTACCACGTGCCCATTCTTGGCACCTTTGCCAAAACGCTCGTCGACGTTGTGCAAAAGAGAAAGGAACAGGAGCCCCTAATTTACTACGACAAGAATGCAAGACAAATTTCGATTATTTTACCTGACCGCGTTAGGGAGAAAAAAAAAAAAGTAAGACTTTTTGCTGACTCGTTTAGGCGAGTTTTCAAAAATGTCCGCGGCTTTTGGAAAAAGGGGATGAAGCTGAAGCGGCGGTGGGAGGATCGCGGCGTGGGGGGAAACCACGCCAATGATAATGACAGTTTTGGCAGTTTTGGTAGCTATGGCAGCTATGGCAACTTTGGCAACTGTGGCAGCTGTGACAACTGTGGAAGCACCCACAAGGGGAATCACTGCGCCAGTCGCGGAGGGGATACGCAGCTCAAGCAAAGCGCAGGAGATCTCCCAAACGACGAATCCCTTGAAGACATCAACGGGAGGCCATCAAAAAAGGGGGCGAAAGGAAGACCAACATGTGCAGGCAAGAATGACGCACAAAATGGAAGCCTGAACGTGCAGGGAAAAGAAGGAAACCAAAATGATCACCACCTTTTCGCACAAAATTTATCGGGAAATGAAAAAATGCGTTTCTGCCTTTTTCCCAAAAATGATAGCAACTCCGTCTGTGCAAATATCAACAAGGAGCAGCGAATGTTCGCAATTGAAATTTACAAAGAATTGCTAGACATATTCATGAAGAACGTCACGTTAACGTACATTTCGGAAATCTTTTTCGAGTTCATATTTAAAATTACCATCAACATAGGAAACTTGATTGACAACCTGGACCAGAAGGATAAAATATTTGTGTCCATGGATCAGGAGCAGAACTTTAAGAACATCATTCAGTGGTCTCTCGAACGGATGGAAAAATGTAGCGAAAATAAAAAGTTGGAAGAGAGCAAAATAATTAATTTGAAAAATTGCAAATATGATTTTGGTCTGCTTAATGTCGATACGCTGCAAGTTCCTTCTTCGCTCTTTGAAGAGGAACGAATGGAGTCCTATCGAAACATTGACAGGACCGCACCAGGGAAGTCGTCTAGAGAAACTTCTGGAAAGTCCAGCCTAGGCGGAAAGGGCCCCGAAATTCAAGGTAACACGCTCGGGGCGCCAGCACTTGGCTCGCCGTTACGTGGAACCATCGATGGGTTGCACGACCGATAGGTTACACGATCGATAGGTTACACCTTCCATTTGGTACATCCTCGAATTATTTCATCACCACACCACCGTCTCCCCCCCCGCACAGTGTCCGATGAAGAGAAAGAGAAACTCTTCTCATTCTTCAGCGACGATCTCCTGGACAAGAAAATCCCCCTCTCGGAATTTTATCTAATCCTCACAGAACTGAAGATCAAATACTGCGGAAACCTCACTGCATACTTTTACATGTTCAGGCTATACAAAAAATTGGAAAAGCTCCAGGAAAGGAAGAAACTTAGAAGGCTAAACAAGAAGCTGCGGAAGTGCCAACGAATTAGTGACACGAGGAAGAAAAAGTCCCGCGAACAGACGTTCGAGAAGGACAAAATAAAAGAAAAAACAGCTCTACTGTACAAGGAACATAAACACCTGACTAAAATGTTGGAGCAGCTGAAAGGGCAATACATTAATATAAGTAGGAACGACTCGGAAATTTTTTCATCCGACGAATTTGGAATGCCCGATGTGGATGGCGACATTTCCCTTTCCAGTGGGGGCTCCATGGAGGGCGTACTTCTTTCGATGGGTTCCAATCAGAAGGAAGCTGGAAGCGAGCGGAACTTCAAATGAGGAGCGCACGGAGCGGGTACCCCCCGCCAGTTGGATAATCAGCCGTTTGGCGCAATTTTTTAACCACCGTCTTTGTTCCTTTTCTCCCCATTTTGATGTCAATTTTTTTTTTTTTTTTAAGTCCACCGTCGCGTATCACCCCTTTAGCGTGTCCACGTTTGGGTTGTTTTTATTTTTTTCACTTCTAGCGCACGTCGCCGAGGTGACCAAAGTGTGATTTGTTTTTGTCTACATCGTGTTTACACGGTTAGAGCACCGCCTCATTTACGTTGCTGCCTATTCCCCCCGTTGCCATGACGTAGGCTAACTTCCGTCAATACCAGAACTCACCCCCCGCGGCTAACCTTCTTTGCGTTATAATTTTTTGGTACCTCCCCATTTCAAGGCATCAACCTTGTTCACATATTTTTTTTAAAATATACGAAAATGGACAAACGTTACCCTGCTCAGGGAAATTGCACACACACACGGAAAAAAAAAATGGCTAGCTGAATAGCTAGCTAGCTGACTATCTGGCAGATATATGCCTAAGAACGGTGCGGCAATTTTCTGCGGATTTTTTTTTTTTTCTTTTTTGTCCTCTGCTTCCCCCTTCATTTTATGTTTTTTTCTTCTTCCTTTCCTGCACACTTAAAAAATAGGAGTGCCCATTAACCACCTCACAATACGGGTTCAAAAAGATGGAAGAATTTTCAACGCAGAAGGGGGGAAATTTCTTATAAGACTTTATCAAATTTTGTTCGTACGAATTTAGGAAAATGCGAACGAAGCCAATGTTGTCGTATTTGCAGCTTGAGGCATCTTTTATAAGTTTCTGAATCTCGCTTACACACCCTTTGAAATAGGAACAAATGTCCACGTCGGAGGAGGTTTTCTCGAAAAAGCGAAAATTATGACTGAAGTAATTTTTAATATCTAACAAGCTTGAGTATTGGTCAATCCGTTTCTTCGAATTGCGGTAGCTCTCTTTCACTTGGGCTAAATTTTTAATTTTTTTTTTCACCCCTATGTTGATTTCGTCATTTTGTAAAAGGGTGATTTTTAAATTCTTCGTGAGGACGGCGTTAATAAGAGCAGCTTTATTTTTCTGGAAATTGTAAAAATTAATTTTTGAAATATCTGGGTAACAGAAATTCCACGCTTTGTATTTCATGTTGTACGAGTCCTCCTCGACGGGTTCCGAATCCACATTGGTGTAGGAAAAATAAACAAAATAAATCATCAGAAAATCTGAGTAAAGATACAGAATGTAATAAATTAAGGAATAAATTAATTTGCTCCTATTTTCAGCACAATTTAATTTGAATCCTTTTTGCACTGTGCCCGCCAATTCTTTATAGGATAATGACATGACGTAATAGGTAAAGGCATATTCCTGGTCGGATGGTATGTTTATATAAAGGCTTAAACAGCTGTAATCAATTAACACAGTGTGGAAAATGCAGTGAAGATAATTTTCCACGCTGTCCATTTCGCTGTTCATATTGTACAATTTGAAATAGTACGCCAGAATTTTCATGAGGGTGTACAATACGCACATGTCCGTGTGAAATCCGGTCAGTTTGGAGTGCTCCCTAGGGGCCAGCAAAAAGGAAAAGTTTAGGACTTTTTTTAAAACTATCTCGAGATACTGCATGAACAGGTGAAATATCTTGCACAGGACTGTCAATTTGAAGCGCTTGCTGGTTATGATCGCTGGGCTGGTGGTGCGTTCGTGGATGCGTCCGTCGGTGCGGGTGCCATTACCGCGTTTGGCGCGTTTGTCCTGTTCGGCGCATTCCCCCTTGGGTTGGTTTTCCCCCACGGTGCTGCTCCCCTGGTAGGCGCCCCCACATTCCGAAACGCAGTTACTTCCACGTTCCTCTTCGGACTTGCATTGGTCCACTCCCCACGGCGCGCTTCCTACCCCTGCACACTCGTCGATAAATTCCTCCAACTCCGTGAACAACTCTAGAAGGGAGCTCTCCTTTTGCATATAATTTATCAGATAAGGGAAATGCAAGCGCAAATCTCGCTCCAGTTTTTTAACAGCACAGGGAGGGAAAAACATCCCGCAAAATGTTTTATATTCCTCCTCATTTGTATAAGTCAACCCTTTGTCCACTTGGTACACATGCTCCATAGCAAAAAAAAACGTATCAGGGGAGTAGAAAAAGTATGACAGTAACACTAGCAGAGGGGGGGAGAAGCCAAAGTAACACAGATCATTAAAAATTACAGATTTGACAAAAAAATTCGGATCCTCTTTGGACACCTCTTCTAGTATTACATACGATTCGTTGAAAAATAAGTGGAGGAAGAAACTGACAAATATATTTTGCTTCACATTTTGGGAGAACTTCTCATTTAGGCGTCTTGTGGAGGGAACATCATCCGTCTCTTCCTTTCTGTACGTGTTTAGAAAGAGGGAGTAGTAATGACCTACATCTCGGTTCTCATCGTAATCGTCCCATTGATGGTTCTGTTCGGCGATAAGTGCACCTGGGGGGGCCGGATCCAACGTTATAGACTCCGCTTGGTCGTCTTCTCGCTTTTCAAGGGGGTCCTCTTTTGGTATTTGTTGCATCTTTTCCACTTCTTGCAGCTGTTGCCGTGTTGCCTCCTTTTCGGGACGTTCCACTTTTCCATCTGGGGGTGCCCCTTCCAAACTGTGAAAAAAACGCTTAGCCTTTATCTCTTCCTTAAGTAGTAGGTCCCTCTCAAAGGGAAGGAAGTCCCCCCTTGCGTTATTCAGCACTTGTTGGATGTACCCCCTCGAAATGCACTTCACCAAAACGTTGCCACTGGCGGAGTAAAATTTTACATAGTGCACTAGATTCTTAACGTCGAAGAAGCTTGACTTGGCGTTTATGCGCTGGAAATATTCCACAATGTAGTCTATATCCAGAGTGACCTTCTCAAAAAAGGAGTAACCCTCATGCACACTCATTTTGGTCACGTGCTTTGACACACTATTCAGTTTATACATTAAAAAATATTTATTAAAATATTTCTTTCGGATCTGTTTGTCTTGTTGCTGACATTTGGAACCTACTTCTTCGTTGATCGTACGTATGCATTTTAGGAGCTCCTTACAATTTTCTTTAATAGAGTCTGTGTTCATCTCCCTGGATTCGAAGATGACCTGATTTAGCATCGTGTTTAGGTGAATGCAAAACTGGATTCTTCGAAGGAGGGGCAGGACGTGGCCCGGAGGTGGGTCTGCTAAGTGGGATTCCCCTTTGTCTCTCTCGTGACACCCACTTTGGCCTACATCTTTGCGTCCATCTTTGTCTCCATTCTTGCCTTCATTTTTGCCTTCATTTTTGCCTCCCTCTTTCACTCCACCTTTATGCGCACTTCCCTTCGTACCTCGCTTCCTCCGCGCCGACTCGTACTGCGCCAAGAACTTGGGGAAGCACCTTTTCACGAGAAAGAGGTTCTTCATCACGTACCGCCTCCTCCGCCTGCAGTGGTAAATTAACGAGTCCGTTATTTTTAGCAATCCACCCTTGTAGTCATCCCTGTGCAGCCAGCTATTCTTTGTCACGACGTGGTCTATAATTTCGGCTGTTGATGCGTAGAGGATTAAGAACAGCTGGAAGAAAGTAAACGGGTTATATCTGAGGTAGCCTTCTTCGCACATGGAGCGGTGCGCGTCCGATTTGTTTGGGGGGTTGTCCTTCTGGGTTGGCCCCATCTCCTTGGAATATCCTTCCGTGGGGGGGTGCTCATCCTTTGCCCCACTTGCACTCTTGCCCTGTGCCACGACCTGCTCTCCTACCCCCCTCTGCATAAGCTGAAGGAACTCCCGATTGTCATTCTGGAAGATGTTCATATATATGCTATCCGCAGAAAGGGATTTTATACATTTGTAGAAGATTTTTTCGAAGAAGAAGGAATCGCCATTACAATTAATAACACTTGAGTGGTGAACGAAGTAGCAACTTAGGACAGTTAAAAAGGGGTGATTCCCCAATAGGACCTTTACTTGCTGGAGGAGAAGATTGTCCATAATTAGAACCATGTCTTCTAAACTGATACCTTCTGATAGGTATCCCTTATCTTCACATTCTTTTATTGTAATTCTTTTTTCTGGCTTGATCCCTACGTCCAATTTGTTGTCTCCCATCTCGAGGGAGCAAACGTACTTCCCATAGGAGAAGTCGGACACTCTGATTTCGTCTTCATCGTTCAGGTCTGACAAGGGTGTGTAATGTGCAGCGTGCAAAAGAGAACATATGTGTTAGGGGGAAGCCGCATATAAGCGGGGGGAAGGTCTAATCCCTAAGTATGGCACACTATATGCCAAACGTTTCGAACGCTGTGAAGACTTCGGGCTACCTTCCACATTCCGGCGGAGCAAGTCCGATATATCGAGGTACTCCTTCTCCGCCTCCATGTCGGAAGGAGAGCGCTATGATCATCCGACAGATGGGCCGCTGCCACAGGGGATCACATGGGACATACAAATATACGTATATATGCCTACGACTTTTCGCTTGTACAACCCGTAGGCGAATCCAAATGCAGTGCCGGGGAAGGGCCTCCCACTTCTTTCAGTGAGTGGTGTACCTAACCCTAAATTTGTATCTCAAAATAGGGTTATGAGGGGGAGCACCACTCTTCTCTGCGGGGAAAGATGAGAACCACATCGCGTGAGTGAGGGGAAACGAATCCTTACAATTTTTGATGTTGCCGCAACCGTCACATTTAGATGTACATGCAGTATGCATATGGGCTGAACTTCACCCTTCGAACAAAATGGGTAAGCAAAGCGGCGTTAAAAAAAAAAAAAAATCCTCCTTCTCTGGGGTAGACGTTGCTACAGTTTGGGTATCTTGAGCGATTTGTAGAGAGCACCTAAAGGTACCCAGGTTTTTTTTTCTCACATTTTATTTTAATCAGATTGGAGGGGATGCTCTCCTCGCGCCACCCCCCCTTCATGTGAATATTTCTTTGCATCCTACCGTAATCTATTTCTCGCTTTGGCCTACTCCTATTTTTCCCTACTTCCGCTTCCTTCCAATTTGTATACGCCACTTTTACATGCCCTGCCCGATTCGCTTCGCGAGTGGAAGTGAGAACCCCCATTTTGGCGAGCTCATCCTGCTGGAGGGTCGGACATGTAGAGGGAGAATTTTTGAATCCAATTTGAAATGGAACTCGTGATGATAGTTTCGATGACGCAGCACGGGCGCGGAGGTTAACGCGGCTTCAGAGACCAGCGGTGTAGGGGCTAAACGACCAGATCCAGCACCCGTTCACACACCACATGGTGAATGATTAACGACGGAAAAACAAGTCAAAAAAAAAAATAAAACAAGTTTAAAAGGATCTATTTTAAAAACAGCTATTTTAAAGACAACTTTGTCAAAGACGACTCCTTTAAAAGGAGCCACGTCGCCACTTTTACAGCGATGTGGGAGCTGCGAAATTTTTCAGCACCTCCGCTAGCCCGAGCTAAACAGACGAGTATGCACATGTTCACATATATGCACACGCAGAAGTATCCCCAGGAAGGCGCAGACATACCCATGCACAATGAGGAAAAAAATGCAAGTGGACCCTGGGCGTGGCTTTTTACACGTCCTTTCTCCAATTTGTATGTTACAACGCTTCGCTATCTGTTTTTTTCATTTCTTTCTTTTTTCGGACTCCTCTACGTGACCAGTTATCCCTCTTCCCATGTTGGCTTTCCCAGAAGGGGGGAAATACCCAAGGGGAAGTTCGGGGCCCGCCTGTGCCCACAACCTCAACCCGGGAGAGTGGCTCGTCCCACCTAAATGCACGATCCTTTTAGCAGACGGTTTGCCTAAAAAAGAAAGTATGTCTTTACATTAAGCATATTTCTATGAACAATGTTTTGATAGTCGTGAATTTACGTGGTTGTCACTTTTTTCTTTTTTTCTTTTTTTTGGTACTTCGCTCTTGGGTGTATCTCCTGAACCTCTGTGCGGCGAGGTAGTACTCTCTTTCCCCGATTCTTCGGTCACCCCTTTTGTGTTTTCCTTCCCCACTTTGACTGCTTGCCCAGTTAACCTATTCTCTCTGTTCGTTGAGACCTCTGCTCCGTTGCCCTGCTTTTGCTTTGCTAGTTGAGAAAGGTTGTCATCAAGGAGGTTCATCTGCTTTAGAGATCTGCTGCATTTCTTGGGGGGCCAACAGGTTGGGAGGTATGTAACAGCAGTTGCCCATGCGCGGGTGCACAACAGAGAGGGAAAGCAGGAGCAAAAAAGCGAGAGAAAGCGGGGCTGAAAGCGAAGACAGTCATACACACGTATTCGCGCACATGTACAGGGCTCACGGCTCCTGTCTTACGTTCTTCATTTCGTCGATATCTTTTTTTATCTCGATTTTTCTTCGGGAAAAAAGAAAAAAAAAAAATACAACTAGTCAGTCGTTGAAGGTTTGAACTAGCGGCATGCATTCATATGTGAATGGGCACCTCATACGCAGACGTGCTTGCGATGGATTGAGATAATTTTTTAAATACTTCTTCTCCTCCATGTTTATGTGAAGCTTCATCTTCCGTATGTTCACCGACGTGTTAACAATTTCGTTGTTAATGGACTCGTCAATCTTTTTGTAATACTTAAGCTGTCCATCCATATTTTCGTTTTCTTTTTTGATCGATTCGAGGTCTGTTGGAGAGGGGGATGGGTGGGTGCGAAGTGTATAGCGGCACACTATCCGCCGCAAATTGTCTGCCATTTTTGCATGTGCAAACATACGGAGTATGCACGAATGATGAGCACGGTTCATTCGTGCCTCCTGCTCGTGTGGCGCACCCAGCTTGAGCGCCATGAGATCATCCTGGTGCTTTTGCAGCTGGTCCTTTTTCGTGCTGCTGAGCTTTTCTTTATAAATTAAAATTTCGTGAATTTTTATCAAGTCTTTCAACTCGTAGACCATCCCCGCGATATTGCTAGAGAATGTGGTCAAATATTCGAATCGCTTTTCCATGTTCAAGTTGGACGACAGTGCGTTCTGCATTTTGATATTCTCGGGGGAGGTCTCCTTTTTGTATCACTATGTGTTTGTTCCTTTGGTAAGTTTGGCCTCTCCAGTTGTTCCTCCTTTTTTTTTTTTTTTCTTAATATCACTAATGAGATAACTAGTAAGATAACCAGTTTGAGTGAACGGTGTGGCGTAGCATATGCACATGTGATGTCGCACCGCGGTTGGGAATATAAACCGAGGGGAAGTTTAACCCAGGAAAGTTCAACTCAGGGAAATTGAACTGAGAAAAGTTGAACTGAGGGAAGATGAACTCAGAAAGGTTCCCTCGCGGATTTATCTTTTTATGACCCACTTGTGTGTTGCATATGCAGAGAAGCAGCGTTAACAAAAATTCCCGCTTAACCTATTTCCTGTCCGTGAAATAGTCCCCCTTTCTGGTGAACATTTGATCGGCTGATGGGTGAGCATATGACGTTGCAGTTGTGTCTTAATTGCATCTTTCGATGTTGCAATTTATTCGCAAATTTGCTCGTCCTTGTCGCTGGTTTGTCGTGTGACGCTTTAATTTCTTTTTTTTTTTTTTTTTTTTTCA